CTCTCTCTCTCTCTCTCAGTCCGGTACTAAACTGTGAAGTTGGCGCCTTGATGCAGGTACCTCGAAGATGAAGCTGGAGCTATGGCGCCACAGGTAAGTCTCCCTGGCCTCCGCCAGCCATCTCTGTCTCCAACACTAGTCTACTCCTACCAGCGCCCAGCGCTGAAGACTACTGCTAGTGCTCCTCCAGAGTGCTGCGGCCGAATCCTGAAGACTACTCCTGCCTTCTGCCTTCTCGTGAAGTGCATGGGAACTCCGTATGTACTTCCTCGGCCCGCCTCCTGACTGCCTCCGACTGCCTGCAGTTGCAGGGCGGGGCAGTCCAGGAGGCTGCTCTTGCCAACGCCAAAACGAGCCAGGGCCTGGCGCTGCAGCTCCTGCTGAGGCTGTCATGGGAACAGGCCAAAAATAGCCTGTTCCTAAAACCCTGGTCTGGTGCCTGGATGTCAGGGCAGGTTGATCTTATGAGGGCCCGAAAGTGGCCCTCCGTTTCAGGCTGAAAAGACTCAGGGCCTGGAAGGCCCTCTTTTAGGCTGAACCGACATAGGGCGTGCAGGCCCTTGTTTTCAGGCTTTCAGGCTGAAACGACACAGTGCCTGTAAGCCCTTGTTTTCAGGCTTTTAGGCTGCGAACGCTGGTCAGGCCCTGCAGGCCCGTGTGGCTGCGTAGTATGCCACATAGTCCTCCTCCTCCTCCTCCATCCTCGTATTTCTCCTCCTCCTCCATTGCCAGCTTCCCCTCCTCTGCCATAGGCTCTTCCTCCTAGTGCTCTCCATCCTTCTCGTGGTCCTCCTCCTCCATCGCAGGCTCCCCCCCCTCCATCTTGTGCTCTTCCTCCCCCGTTGTGGCATCCTCGTTGTCGCCACCACATGGCTGCAGACCTGGAAATAAGAAAAAGTGTCTCGCTCCACTACTCAACAAATGTGTAAGCCGAGAATCAACCTTCCGGCAGAACAAGGGAAGATACACCACCATATTTTCAATCTTTTGAAATGTCTGCTGTGTACTTGTATTTGAACATTCGTGAGCTGGGCCCCATGCAGTACAGCAGGGAGGGGCAGGACCGGAAAGACAACAAAACAAACCAACGCAATACCATGCGAGTAGCACTGACGCATTGAGCCACTTGACAGGGACCACCCAAGTTGGTATAGTAGGGTGAGCCCCTGAAATGCAGCAGGTTAACATCCACGTGAGAACAAAGTTGGGCAAGGAAACAGTTGGGCTAGGGGGGTTAAGAATTGATANGTTGGGCAAGGAAACAGTTGGGCTAGGGGGGTTAAGAATTGATAGGTGAGAACAGAACAGTCACAAGACTTCAGGGCGAGCCCCTGATGTCTTGCAACTCTTGCCATAAAATATTAACTTCTGGTTTCTCAACTAGCTTTCCTTGCACGGTGTAGCAAAAGAGTTTGAGCACCACTCGCCAAACGCCAACATTCTTAAGGTATCGGGACCACTGCCAGGTTCAGACACATTCGGAACATTAACGTTTGGCAAGCGGTGCGGGAAGGTCCTAAACGACAGCGCCGTTTGTCATCAATCGCAGCAAATTTCCACATGATGCCACTCACAAACCACAAGCGTCAAAACCGTGTGAGACGCAATGAAAATGGAAAAGGGAGGGAGGGACGGACGGATGGAGAAATGTAGTGTACCAGTCCTCATCAATATTGCTCTTTCTTCTCAGCAGTGGAGGATTTATGCAGTAGTGCCTTCTTGAAGCCTGGAGAAATTCCACACAAACCCAGAAACATCCGTCAGTGGCTCAGGAACAAGGAGAAATAAGAGGAACAACAGAGAAAACTTCAGAACACATACTCTCAGTAATCATACAAGATATCATATTCCAAAAAAAACAAAGCAAAGCATCCCTACACTTATAAAAATTGCTATTCGCGATCTTAAGACTTTAAGACTTTAAGACTTTAAGATCACATGGCGATCCAGACCGTCCGCTTTGCCGGACGGCCTGATCGTCGCGTGATCTTAAAGTCTTAAGATCGCACGAAATCCGGACCGTCGGGCCAGTAGGACCGCGGGCAGCCCGGAACGGCTCGGCCGTTGGAAATAGGGCCCGTTGCAGGGCGGCGCTGTGGCCCGTTGCAGGCCGGCGCTTTCCCTGCATTGAAGTCCAACGGGCCCTCCCGCCTGCCCACCTCGACTCCGCCACCGGCTCCCGCGTTCTGCCTTCCGCCGCCCCCCACCTCCCTTCCGCCTCCTCCAGCCATCTCCCCTCAGCCACCGCCCACCATCTCCTCTCAACCTCCACCCACCATCTCTCCGCCTCCGCCAACCTCTTCTCCGCCCGGCGCCCACCTCGCCTCCACCTCCGCCCACCTTCCCTCCGCCTCCTCCAGCCATCTCCTATCCGCCTTCGCCCACCTCCCCTCCACCACCGCCCACCATCTCCTCCCTGCCTCCACCCACCTCTTCTCCGCTCGGGCGCCACCTCGCCTCCGCCTCCGCCCGCCAGTCCCCTCCCCTCCGCCTCCCCCCACCCCTTGGGATTCCTCTGCCACTTCTCCCTCAGCATTCCCCCGGCAGTTCTCCTCCGCTCCCGCCTCCACCTACGCTCACTTCCGCCCACCTCACATCGGTGGTTGGTTCATGAGATCCGTGCTTCGTGCTAAGTGCAACGGTGCTACGTGCATCATGGAATCGGTGCTTGGTTCAGTCTGGCATAGTCGAACCTTTTTTTATGGAGCTGTGTAAAGCGAACATGTGACGTCACACACACGCACGCAGATGCATCTTGGGCAGACTGTCAGGGTTCAACCTCCGACGAAACAGTCTGGACAGTCATGACAAGGTAAGATAATAATGACATCAATCACCGATTGACGGAATGGAGTGGATAAGGAAACAAAAGTTGCTTCACGTGGGGATGGTTAGGGGGGGGAGGGGAGTCACATGTCGCAGCCAC